GCAGAGAGCCCCAGCTGTGGGTTACCATGGTGAACTAGTGGCCCCCCCCTGCCAGTGGTCAGCTGACAGGAAGCAGGGGGGGAGCTTGCTCACATATAAGTCCCAGGCCTGAGGCCAGGAGGGGCAGTTCCCTGCTGGCAGCCAAGGGGGAAGGAGCTCTGCCTGAACAAGCAAAGGGGCTAGGCCTGACTGCATGAGCAGCTCCTGATATTGGTGAGGGATGGAACACCCTTGGGGTGGCTGGGATGATGTTATAGCCAGGCAGCTTGAATTTATGTTATAGCCCAGAGGCTTGTGTTTTGTTTGCTGTTTAACTGGTGGTTTGGGTGAGGCTATTAGGGGATGGAGGAAGCCTCATAGGGGATCCACTGCAGCGTGGGGACCCTGGTGCCAGAGAGGGTGCAGCATTTGCGGGGGGGGCACTGACCCCAGTGCCAGAGAGGGTGCAGCATTTGGGGGGGCACTGACCTTGGTGCCAGAGAGGGCGCAGTGTGAGATAGCTGCAGAGAGCCCAGGGAGGACAAGGGGGCCAGATTATGACAAGGCCCAGACCAAACAACGTCAGTACTATCGGCAAGGCTTGGGCTGCAGTGTAGAGGAGGAAAAGGAGCTGCAGATAGTGCCCCCTGGCATTGGGACAGGAAATGGGCAGCCTCCTGCTTAATTACATCTATTAATCAATTAACAACAAGGCATAGCAGGAGAGAAGGTGGGCCGTTGGCCCCTAATAGGTGGGCGGGGTCACCAGTAGACGGACCCGGAAGAGGCGCATCTGCTACACCATCCATGACAGTGCTTCAGTCACGTGAGGTATCCCACCAAGTCTCTGTTATTCAAATCGCATCATAGGTTCATGACTGCAAGGACTTTCATTTCTTTTTGTTTCCCAAGCTTCGTGCAGCTGTGTACAGGCACCAGAGATAACTAGCCAATTGCCCACTTTCTCTGGAAGAATGAGAAGGCTTCTACTGTTGCCCTGTCCTGCTTGAGCTTCATCCAGATCACCCACTTACCTCAGGGGTTTGGTTTCCAAACCCTGACAAACCTAGCTCAAAGCCTGCCACAAGAGGTTAGTGAACCTGTCTGTGAAGATGCTAATCCCTCTCTTCATCAAGTGGATCCTGTCTCTTCCTAGCAATCCTTCTTGGGACAATACCCCATGGTCAAAGAAGCCAAAGCCCTGCATGTACTTTACAACTGTTTCATTTAAATCATGATTTTTTTTCATGCAAGTGTTCTAATGTGCAGTTATAGTAGCTGGGAGTGACAAACACCAGGAGGGCATTTATCAAACTAAGTTATCTCAGTATTGATATCAGTATCAATATACACATCACTAGCTTTAAGTTAGAGATCAGAAGTACTTACAGGTTATGTATAGCCCAAATTATGTTAATTAAGGCAGAGGAACTTTTAAATTTGTCTGGCTCATCTGATCATTGAAGCTTCATCTGAAATGCTTAAACGTGATTCCCATTACATTCTGTGCTCTTAGTAGTGAGAGCAGTACTGATTATTACCAACTCCCTGCTGTTGAATACAGCCAGGCACTTGTTCATCATGATTCTGAGTTTTTGAGAAGGGTTTAAAAAAAATACTAAAAGAATATGAAAAAGACCTTTCAAGATTGAGGCACTGGAGTTGGAACAACAAAGTGAAAGGTAACACAGCTTGGCATATACATTTTTAATCTTAGGAAGTTTTAACAGCATAAGAAAAATCCATACAAGAACAACAGGAAAAAAGTTTAGCAGAAAACAATAGGAAAAAAAACCCGTACTTATGGCTCCAGTAGACTTCCTTGAGCATCGAAATAATTTCCCCAATGTCTTCATATAACCATACCTTCTTGATGACCTCTTCTGTACCCTTTCTACTTCTTTTTCTAATCTTTCCTTTAAAGCAGCATCCATAACTGTCTGTAATATTTTTAGGTATTAAAAATACCTTTATGACACAGCCGGGTGCCCAGAGCAGTTACTATACACAGGGGCAGTGGCAGTTTTCAGGTGTCACCACTGCCACAAATGTTATTGCATAGCTGTGTTGGCAGTCATCATTTTCTGCCTTCCATTACCAAACCAGCACTCAGAGCAGAAGTCCTTGTCACTGCTACCCCCACCCCACTGTTACGCCACTGTTCCCCATTGTGTTGCTTTTAAAAAATGTTTATGATATTCTCTGGCCTTGTACTGAAAAATACCACTCCATTTTATGAAAAATACCCTTCAGTTGGGCAAATCATTTAAAAGTTTTGGTAGTGTTAGAAGGATGTTGTAGCCATGATGGTCCAGGAGTTGAGAGGCAAAGATTTTTTGGGATGATACCATTTATTGGACCAACTACATCGTTGAGATTAAAATCAGACAAGCTTTTGAATGCAAGGTATTCTTCCTCAGGTCTGAGGGGCGAAGCAAGCACAGCAATTGTTAAGATCAGTAGGTAAAGCTGTGAAATTGGAGCAGGGAGAAATTCTCAAGAGTAGCAGACAAACAATTAGCAGAAGAAAAGAAGCTTGATTAACTGGGAGATCAAGACCTATCAAAAGGGAAGAGGGTCACTCATTATCACCTATGGTGTGCAGGAAGAATTTCAGGAATCGGGTAGATTATAATGTCAAAATCAATATTGGTGTTCAGTCCTTGGCTCCTGGTGTCCAGCCAGTTGATGGATTTTTGTTCCAAAGCTCACCTTTTAAAGGTATTTGGTAGATTTCCCTTGAGCACAAAGACTGAGATGAGAAAGGAGTGGTAGTTTTTGTTTGTTTGTTCGTTTGTTTTTTTTAAAGGCTCCTACTGACATTTATGTCTTTGTCCTTTATATGTAAAATGTTTGCTCATTTGTCTCAAAGGCAGCTGCAGTTAGGAGTAGAGAGGAGAGCTTGTTACACTGATAAATGTGTTCAATGGTGGTGTTGGAGAATTTCACCAAGATGTTGTCTTTTTGTTCAACAGGAAACAGAGAGCCATGCTACCCAGGGCACTGAATCGCAGCGAACTGATGTGGGGTTATGGGCTAAGGCTGACTGAGCCCAGCATCCAACATGCTCTGCCAATCTGCTTCAGTTCTGATTGGCAACAAGCTGTGTGATAATTTCTTAGAATCAGCCAGAAGTGGCTATGAAACCAAGCTCATCTTACTAACTCATATAAACAATAATTTAAATTCGAACTACAAAAGTGAAGGTGAAACTGGATCACTAGGGTCTATTACTGGCCTTTCCTGCTTTGAAAACCTTGGGAGTGGGGGAGGGAACATGCTTTTTAAAGTGGCCTTAAGCACCTTAAGTTCCTAACAGCAGTATTTGCTGAGCAAATCACTTTAGGTCTCACTGACCTTGGCTAGTAGGACTTCCTGGGTCACATTTTCACATGGATAAGCTATTTCTCGAGCAGTTTCTTCAATTTACTGGACATAAATAGGCTTTCCTTTAACAGCAGACAGGTACTGTACATGTTTTTTGTGCCACTAGTTATTCCTCAACCAGTATATTTGGAAGAAAATGTCACCTTCCATTAATTTTATAGTTGCTATGTATTTCTTTTACAGTATCTCAAGGTTGCATTGAAACACAGGATTTTGTTTCCTTTCAATATAGTGATAAAAAAGCAATGGGTAGTGTTTATTCTTTTCCTAAAGTATTTCTGTCCTTTTCTACAATTTCTGCTAGAGGGACATTGAAATATTTTGTCCTTAAAAACCTAGATGGTACCTCTCTTTAAATTTGCAAGAGTTTGGTTCTACTTGTGACATTGCATGTACACATACAGCAACTTTTAAATGATGAAAGAATCAGAAGCACTAGCAGCATAGGTGCTGACATTTAATTTTGCCAGTGGGGAGCCTAAGATGATGCCCCCACCTCTGGCAGCACTGGTGGAGCTGAGTTGAGCTGAACCCACAGGGGGAGGAGTGGGGGCTGATGCAGACTGCCTGCTGTTGGCTCTGGGCTTCCCACCCTGATGATGGCAAGGCACCCCCTACCTGCCTAGTAGAAGTGGGGAGCATAACCCCACTGCTGCTGGGTGGGCAGGGGGCACCTTGCCATGGCGGTGTGGTTGGTGCAGTGCTCCCGGGGGAGGCCCCCCCCAATTCCCTCCTCCCTAGGAGTGCACACAGTGGCAGAGAGCCACCCCCACCCCCCCACACCCTCTTGATGAGCTGCCCCTAGCTCTGTTCCAGCCCCTACCCCACTTTCTCCTATACCGTGGGGGGCCTCAAACTTTATAGTTACTGATCATTACTGAGACTTTTCTCTCTCTCTCTTTTTTTTTTTTTCTTCTGGTTTTTTTTGAGAGAATATTTTATACATGATTTAAACACTATCAAATGATTATTCCCACATGCAAAGCTCCTGTTATTCTTTTAATTAGGCAGTCTTGGAAAGGAGAACCTATGAAATATTTGTTCAAATATGTGATCCACCCAAAACCATCCATAAATTTGTGTTAACTTGCACATCAAAGATCTGTCACAATACTGAATCATGCCCTAAGCATTCTTATTCCACATGAAAATTTTAATGACGAGCTATTTGTAGTATCGGTTGGTAGAGATTTATTAAGCTGTCTTTTCATAAATGTGTTTATGCAGTGCATGTGTATGTATGCATACAGAGAGAGAGAGCACCACACACCCCTAAAATAAACAAAGTGATATTATCTAAGCAGTGGCTCAAAGAAAATTTACATAAGGCCCAGGTCTGATCCCATTAAGTACAGTAAGGCTTCTATTCTGACTTCAGGGAGATCAGGATCAAGCACAAGAATGATTTCAATTGCACTGTGTGAATTATAGTTAAACTTTGGCTTAGAAAGTAGCTTATCAGTAACAGTAGTGTATATTCATATCGGGATATTTTTTCTTATTTTAGAGGGTGTTCAAAACATTGTCTCTTTTAGTAGGCAATGACTAAGCTTGCTTGTTCCTGCAAAAAATTGATGCGCTTATTTTTATGCCCATACTGTTGAAACCATTGAATGACAAATAGTGTATGAAGTTAAGCATGTGCATAAGCCCATGCCGGAGTGGGAACTTAGTTATTTCCTTTCTTTAAGAAAAGATAATGTGGTAAATCATACTGCTGTGGAGTTTTATTAAATATTTATAATAAAGATTTACCAGCCTTATTAGTCTCACCTCTACCACTAGCACTGTTTTCACAAAATGGAATGCGATTTTCATTCTCTAGCTCTCAGCCTTTGGCTACAATGCATTAAGACAATACAATGATTTATTTTTCCTGTTTGTTTTACTTTCTTTAAGCATTATTTTCTTCCTGCTTTTGTTTAATTTTACTGTTGACCGAGATATGTAAACTACATCTGCAGAGAGACAGTTTTTGAAAAATATAGCTGGGATACAAAAAGCCAGGGTTTTCATTTAAAAAAAACAGTTGCAGGTATAACATAATCACCTGAAGTCTGATTACAATTTATTGGAAAGACTAGATCTCACAAAATATAATACCAGCACTGGGAGCAGAATCTCAATAGTATGAAAAGTACTTTGAGGAAGATGGCAATAAGAAAGGTCCCGTGGGTAACACACCGGTTTGGGACTTTGGTGATCTGGGTTCCATTCATGATTTTGCCCCAGACTTCTCAAGGCATATAAAATACAAAGGAAATGCTGAATCCAAAGACTGACTTAGTTAAAGCTGTCCTTTAAAAGAATGACTGTTAGATACCAATGGTAACCGACCTACTAAATCAAGCCAAGTTAGCTTCTGTATCCAGGCAGTGATAGATAAATGAATATTTATCTCACACAGTAGAAGGGGGCTGTGCAATGTTTCTGGGAAGCTTCCTTTAGTTCAGCTTCCAGGACATATAATTCAGCACAAAGGGCATTTATACACATGCTCCAGGAGTGTGAGGGGAAGGGGGGCACTTTAATTAAAGCGGCTCCAAGAGCCGCTCTAATTAAAGTGCCTAGAGCATCGCGTGTATCAGTGTCTCCGCATTGAAAAATGGTGGTGGGGCCCTTTACCTAAAGCTTATTTAGTTTAAAATGCCCCCATCACCATTTTTTAGTAGAGGGACCATAGATGGAGGGAGAAAAAATTACTCGGGGGGGGGGGGGGGGCTGAGCATGTGCATGTATGCATGTGCATCCCCCTACCCCCACCCAGCAGGTAAGTCTGTGGGGGAAGGGGTTGACGGAGAGGGAAGGGCCATGTGGGGGGTGCAGATCAAGGCTACTGTGGTGAGGGAGAAGGATAGGGGCAGGAGCTGGGTGAATGGGGCCCCAGGGCCGGGGCAAATAGTGGGAGAATCACAGCCTGGGTGGCTCTTCCAGGGCTGTGGGAGGGATTCCTCCCACTGTATGCACTTTGGAGAAGGCATGGGGTTTCTGCACCCTGATCTGTGTGTGGGGCAGAGGCAGGCTGCTGTTGCATGCTGGGTGTTGTGCCCTGCTGCCGCTGCCTCCAGAGCCATGTGACGCCATGTGTGTCCTGCAGCTGGGTAGGCAGGGGACATGGTACAGCCCAGTGGTGGCAGGCACATGCAGCAGGGCACAAAGGCCAGCATGTAGTGGCAGTCCCTTTCTGCCCTGCACACAGATCAGGGGTCACGTACAACCCCAGGCCTCTCCTGGGGTGTGCATAGTGGAGGGACCTCCCCCTCCCCCCTGCCCAGTGCCCCTCAATGAGCCACCTGGGCTCCGAGCATCCCACAACCTGGCCCAGCCAGGGCCCCATTCACCCCAGCCCTTGCCCCTGCCTTTGTATGGGCCTCAATCTACCCTACCCTCCCCTCCCCCAAACCCATTCCCCTTCACAGAGTAGACTGATACTTGCCTGCCACTGCTGGGGAGTTATCCACAGGCAGGCTGTGATTCTGGCTGTAAGCGCACCCCTCCACCCTCCTGCTGCAGCCACTCGGAGCCCACGGCTGGACTACCCTGTGGTCCTACCTGCTGCCCCGCGTTTGGAGGGGCTAATCCCTGTTACCCCTGCCTTCCACCACCTATGGTGGAGACACTGATACACGTGACACTGGAATCTATTGAAACACGGTAATTACCACACTGTAGCAGAATTGATTGATTGAATCTACTCCAATGTACTGTCATTACAACACATCATCAGAGCAGCCTTGCTACTTGTGTGTAGGTGCCCAAAGATACTAAGAATAGTGCTGATATAGAGGTGCCTCTTCAGTGACCACCAAAATTGCCTGCTATTTGGATATTATGGCTAGGGAAAATGGCCACTAAAGAATGGAATGCTCTGAATGGGTAGAAATGAGGGCATAATCTGAAAGGACATGCGTCTTGCATAAGAGAATGTTTGAGGAAAGGGAGTGTTTTCACTCTTGGACACCTCATTATGTCACCAATGGAAATAACAGGAAGGACTGTATGAGGAAAGAACTGACAATGCTTATGCCACTCACATAAGCTATTGAATTCTGGAATCTGGGATCCAATGCAAAGCCAGTGGTACAGGAAGATCTCTCATAAGTGCTGAGGACATGGATATCTCTGACTGTGTCATCTGCAGCACAGGTTTGCAAGAGAATGGGAGGAGCACAGATAGGTGTCCACATACAGTATGTCAGGTCTTGACTTGCCACTCCTCAACCCACGCTTCCCTTTCAAGATGTCAGATTAGCAAACATTGTTATAGCTATTGTTCCCATCTTCCTGCCCTTTCTAGCCCCATACTGCTTTTGCATTGCTACACTAACCACTCTTGTTTGGTACTAGGGATGAATTTGTAGGTTTTTGTCCTTTCCCATCATTTGCATGCTTCTAGGCTCTTTGGCAACTTGCCTAAGGTCTTGATACAGTGTCTGTACAGCTGTACACAAATTTATATCCTCTCATCACCTGCTTTCAATGTTTTTGTTGGCTAGGGACAAACACTCAAAAAGCCTGAGCCTAAATTGATTCAATCTTTGCAGGTTAATCTAACCTGCTTAGCTTGAACCAGTTTGTAACCACACAGACGTTCTCTCTGGACTGAGGAAATTCAGGCACATGACTGCAGTGGCTCAGGCTAGAAGCTGGGGGCTGCTAAAGCAGCCCTCCTTTCCCTTCTATGATGCTGAGCTGAAGGGGCATGGGCAGGCCCAGGCAGGATGCTTTAATTGGGGAGGAGTGTAAACCCCCACCCTGCTTACATTGCCCCAGGCTTTTCCCTGCTTACTACTCAAGGGGCAAAAGTATTGCCAGACCCTAGCTCTGGGCTAGCACTCTGAGGCAAAGTGGGGGTGTCCAGTGCATGCATCTGTTAATGCTACTGAGCTTTTCAAACTCACTCTCCTTGCTGCTTCTTATTGTCTGCAAACCTGACAGGCAAGGGAGCTAGCAGGGTGCGGATAACACAGTGTTTGTCAGCCATCAACAAAACAAAAGCTTCTCTCATTAGTTCAAGCTCTTCTTAAACAGCTTTTTCCAGGGAAGGAACGGAGAGACCATTACCAACTGACTTGTTGACTAGCTTCAAAAAGCCCTAAGTGGACACTTTTCTGACTGCCTGTCCCAGTGAAATTGGACACACACAGACACCACTCAGTATTAGCTAGCATACCACATGCCTAGGGTCCATGGGGATGGGGTCTGTGCTGTGGGAGATGGGAGAGAGGGAGGTGGGGATCCCTGCT